ACCGTACCCGTAGCCTCGAGACATTAAGATACGGCTACCGTACCCGTAGCCACTGCCATAAATGCATAATGATAGGCGGCCATAATTACGCCTACAGCTTGGAGGATGTGGGGAAAGAAATTATAATTAGCTCTTATTACCAGCTCCTGTTTGACTTCGCGTGACTGTAATTATATTGCGACTGTGATTGTGGATAACTAAATAGTAAATGAACTAAACGAACGAAAAGAACCGACAAATGTTGCAACGCTCGCTAACATGCATTTCATACGAAATCATCGAAATGTATCGCACAAATTTTACTATATGATGATTTTATGTAGCAAAAGCCAAAAGCTGGAAAATACGCAACCGGCCACCTGTTGGATGGTACATGAGTATTATTGACACGGTGAACGGAGCAAATTTGATTGCGCCAACGCGCCTATTTTTTAAATTTTTTTTTATTTATTTATTTAGGCAATTATCTATCATATACAATACATTTCATACTTTTACAATGCCTAACAATGTTAAACGCCTGAAAACTGCTTATCACCAACCTTGGATTGGTGGGAAATCACAATAATCTTTATTATCACCTGCAGGCCCGTAGCCAGGGGGGGTTCGGGGGTTCGAGCGAACCCCCCCCCCGAACCTCCCCCCCAAGCAAAAAAAAAATTTGTTTTTTGAAAATTTGNCCGTGCTGCGGCTCCTGTCATACCAAACCCCCCATTTCCCATTTTACTCAAGTAAAATGACGCCACGGAGTCAAATTACTCAACGAAACTCTGCACCGCACACGTGAGTAAAATGAGCATATGCGTCAAATTACTCAACGACAAATCCGCCGCACACGTTGAGTAAAATGACTCATGCGTACATTTACTTGAGTAAAATAACGTCACGTGTGCGGCGCGGGCAGTTAGTATCACGAAGTGATGCCAGATTTCTGTGTATTCATCAACTGCATGCAACAGACTTTCCGTATTATCAAGGAATGATTCAAAAACGGCCTAACCCTAACACACTTTCGTGAATACCTAACCAGGTTATACTTCTATGACTTAGGGTTAGGTTAATAATGGTTTTTTGCATGCCATTCCTTGATATATCCGGAAAGTCCCTGTGCATCATTTGATGATACACCGGCGAAATCTGTGCATTTCACTTCGTGATATCCTAATGGCTACGGTGCCTAAACAAGTGGATTGCGGCGACACTTAGGTACTAGCTCTGACTAGTTACATCAGCTCAGTACTATAGCCACGTACTAGTGACCAGCTATGGCTAGGGTAAACACCGATCAGCGCTTCTCCGATCTGTTAAACGGCGGTAGGTTAATAGCTCGGCCTGGCGTTTGCCTCTGCGCCAACTGTAGTGGTTTAAGCGAAAGGGAACTTGGGCTATGCATGCTTAGGGCTAGCTCTATACTATAGCCGCTTACATTAACTGCGCTGGCCTGCAGGGGCAGTTAATGAAAGCGGGCTATAGTCACTAGAGCTACCCTAGCCAACTGCAATGTCCTAGTTAGGCTCTACCAGCGGACAGTTACATGTAAAGCAGGCTATCAGACTAGAGCTATGGCTAGGGTAAGTCCAGATAGATTCCTCTGACCAATGCCACACCGACGATTGTTGGTGGATTGTGTGGTTTAGAAAACTAGGGAACTAACCACACGCAAATCCACCAAAATCGTCGGTGTGGGCATTGGTTATGACCGAATAATCTGTCGCCATATAACCTTTTTCATCATTTTGTGGAGGGTATATTGGGACAGAACGGGGTTTCATTAAATTCGTGCAGAACGCATGCAAGAATGCACTGCGCTGCTCAATGCGGCCGCCGTACGCCGCTATTGCGCGAAAAAAAACGCCCTAGCCGTTCCCTGCTACAATGGCTTACCTTGCTAGCTGATATGTGTATAACTATTCACTTCAATCGTTACTTTACGTTCTTAATATATTGTTCTTTCAACACACGCTTCATTATACTTAGTAAATTACGTTGGCCTGTTACAAAACAATGCAGACGAATCAACAGGCCGAGTCTATCAGCCTCCTGCAGCGCCACAGATACAAGCGAGAGAAGGTGGCTTATGGTAAGACTCGCTGTGATTGGTCTGATTGTTTGTCAATGGCCAACGTAATTACTAAAGCTAATGAAGCGGGGTTCTGAAGACAATGCTTTAAGAAGTAAATACGATTGAAGTGAATGCTATACACATATCAGTAGCCCAGCACGGTAAACGCCATGTAAAGGAACCGGTAGTTTTTTTTTTCGCGCCAATAGGGCAGGGCGTACCGTATCGGGCCGCATTAGGCAGCGGGTCATCTGCATTTTACACGCGATCTTCACGAAAAATTTCAATGAACCCCGTTCTGTCCTAAGTATAAGCCGCTCACCAAAATATAAAAAAGGTTATATGGGACAGAATTATTTGGTCTAGGCATTGGTTCTGAGGAATCTTTCTAACCCACAACCAAATCCACAAAATCGTCGGTGTGGGCATTGTCAGAGGAATCTCGGACTATGGTAGGTGTAGCCGACACAGGCTGTGCGACGGATTGTCTATATTATCCTAACCTAGCGATACCGTTCTTTGGAGCTATGGCTAGGGTAGCTCTTGTAGCTATAGCGCCTGCGTTTCATTAACTGCCGCAGTAGCCTACCTCTGCGCGGTCACGCAGGGGCCCGGTCGGGTTATGATAGGGATTCTGGAGTGGATAGTTACGAAATGAATAATGAATAGGCGGCCATAATTAGGCCTACCAGGCTACCACTGCCTATCAGCTTGGAGGAATGTGGGAAGAATTATAATTAGCTCTATCTTACTCTAGTCTTATTACCAGCTCCTGTTTGACTTCGCGTGACTGTAATTATATTGGCGCCTGTGACTTGTGGATAACTATAAACTATGAAACTTATAAGAACGAAAAGAACCTGACAAATGTCTGCAAGCGGTGCTACAGCATTTCATCTGACGAAATCATCGACAACTGTATCGCACAAATTTTAGTATATTATGATGATTTATGTAGCAAAAGCCAAAAGCTGAAAATCGCAACCGGCCACCTGTTGAAATGGGACAGTGAGGTATATGACAGCTCGTGAACGGAGCAAATTTGATTGCGCCCAACGCGCCAATTTTTTTATTTTTTTTATTCGGCAATTAGTCCATTCATATACAATACATTGCATACTTTTCACATTGCCTAACAATAGATTAAACGCCTGAAACTGCTTATCACCATTCTTGATTGGTGGTAAATCAGAATGATCTTTATTATCACGTACATATTATTCTTTGCATAATATCAGTAAAATTAGTGGAATAATATATATAAGTTTAATGCACAATTGAAGTTATGATGTGATAATTTTGCTATATTTGTACATGCACCCATGCACATGCACACCTCAATTTAGCCTGTCACTGTGCTTCCTTTTCGGATTCGCTTTTGATCCCCCGGATACTGATCTCGCCTAGATGACCGAAAATAGTATTAGGTTAGTGAAAAGGAAGCTAATTAATACACTTGATGTTAAGACGGGAACTGCGTAACTATATCTGAACTATGAGCGAATACCGCGCGTCATACTATTTGGTTATACATTAATAATATGCTTCGAATAAACTGAACATTCACGTTGATTATAACTAAGCCATGTGTTTATACTGATCTATGAATTTTTAGAACGTAACTCAAATCGTTTGCATGCATATGATTGTTAGTTACACTTTTCTACCATCCATAGTCGTGCGATATTACCTATAGGCTATGAGCGATACAGCGCGTATATATTTGTAAATAATTCAACTAATCGTGCTTCAATTAAAACTCAGATTCACAGAGAACATAGCTAAGACATGTGTTTATATGTTTCTAGATTTTCTAGCTTTCCGATTTACTAGAAAAATTAAGCATAAAGCTCATATTATCTATTCAAGATGTAGTGATTCACGTTGCTTGGCAGTCGATGTATGACAGAGCAGCCGACGAATCAGGGTCCTCGTAGCAGCCGGTCCAATCAGGGGCCTCCGTAAGCGCTGAACCAATAGGGGCTCTCAATAGCAACCGACCAATCAGGGCCTCCGTAGCTTGCCGACCAATCATGGTCCTCCTAGGCGCCGAATCCAATCAGGGGCCTTCTAGCAGCCGACCAATCAGGACCTCGTAGCAAGCTGGCGCCATCAGGTGCCTTGTAGCAGCCGACCAACATCAGGGCCTCCTAGCAGGCCGACTCAATCCAGGGGGCCTCTCCTAGCAGCCGACCAATCAGGGGCCTCGTAGCAGCCGGCCAATCAAGGGCCTCGTAGCAGCCAGCCAATCAGGGGCCTCGTAGCAGCTGGCCAATCAGGGTCCTCATAGCAACCGACCAATCACGGGCCTCGTAGCAGCCGACCAATCAGGGTCCTCGCAGCAGCCGGCCAATCAGGGGCCTCGTAGCAGCCGACGAATCAGGGTCCTCGTACCAGCCGACTGTAATGATGGTTATGTCATTGCGTGTACTCTCATGATCGTATAGTGGTTCGCGTATATGTTTGTTACTAAACGTCTATCATATGCGTATATAAATGTCGGCAGATTGAGGTACGTATTTAGAGTGCAATCATATCTTTAATAACAATTACTTAAGCTAACGTAATGCCCATGAAACAAGGCATATTACGTGTACATAGTGTACGCGGCAAAAACAGCTCACATGTCAACCGGCTACGATGTTCACACACGCACAAGCAGAGACTGAGACGAAAAGTAAACTGATGGGAGACGAAGTCAGCGCACAAAGGCGTTTCTCGTTTATATATACGCGCGTCCTTTCTCTATTGTCTTAGGTTATGGTCTCGTAGCAGCCGACCAATCAGAAACCTCGTAGCAACCGACCAATGCGGCGCCTCCTAGCACCCAACCAATCAGGGGCCTCGTAGCAGCCGACCAATCAGGGGCCTCGTTGCAACCGACCAATGAGGGCCTCTTAGCACCCGACCAATCAGGGGAATCCTGGCACCCGACCAATCAGGGGCCTCCTAGCAGCCGACCAATCAGGGGCTTCCTAGCAGCTGGCCAATGCTGAGCCTCGTAGCAACCGACCGAAGGTACCTGAATAGGATAGGTTGATATGTACAAAGGCGAGGTAGAGGTAGGGAGTGAAGGAGGGAGAGATAGAGAGAGGGAGAGGGAAGGAAGGATGAGGTAGAGAGAGGGTGAAAGAGAGCAAGGGAGGGAGAGCGAAAGAGACAGAGACAGAAGCAGGCGGTCAAACTAGCATGTAAAGAAGAGCTACAGGAGAAGGTGGGGG